GGGTGCACCCAGCGCCTCCCTGGGGCCGTTCCTATGGTAAAGCCAGGGCTGCACACACATGCACAGGTGCTGACGCAGCCCTGGACTAGCCTTGGTGCACAGAGAGCTCTGCCTGAGCTGGACAGGCCACTGCGTGGTGCACCAGTCATGTTTGTTCTTATTGCCACCAAGCCTGCAAAGCTGTGTGCTGCAGCAGTGAGGTGGGTCGAGGGTGCGAGGCCAGCTAAGGGACCCTGCACACACAACCTCCCAGCTAGAAACAGAAGCAGTGCCATCCACCATAGCTGGGTTGGTCCCAGGAGCCACTCCAGCTTCGAGCTGGAGCCCAGTCAAGTGCCCCGGACAGCAGCTATGGCCCTGCCCATGCCCCGGCGTAGCCCCAGTCTCCACATGTAAAGCCAAGGCAACCTGCCTGAGGGCCAGTCCAGGGCTGCACAACAGAGGAAGGCATGGCGAGGGTGTGACTGTCCTGGATGTGAGAAGTAGCAGGTAAGGAGAAAAGGGGAGTGAGTGCGGAAGCCCCGGGGACGTAGACCCGAGAAGCCCAGGCAGGCGCCCCTGGCACGCTCACCGGTTGGTGGAGCCATTGTAGCAGTAGTTGGGCAGGAAGTCGTAGTTGAGCTCCCAGAAGACGTGGAGCGTGATTCTCCCATAGGGGGCCGACACGTTGTGGTTGGCTTCCCGAAACATGGCGTCAAAGCTGTCCAGGGTCAGGTACCTGCTCAGCAGCTTGTGTGTCATGCGGTTGATTTCCAAGAGGCCGTCCAGTTCCTGCGGGTCAGAGGTGGTGTGAGGACTGCAGTGAGCCTTGCAGGAAAGAGGCACATGGTCCTTGGGACAGTGGAGGTACGGCGACACAGCCTGAGCACGGCCGGGCGTCTTCCCTCAGCTCTGTCTGCAGGGTGCCCACAGGCCCTCGCTGTCCACCATCACCCTGTCCTCACTGTACACTACCCTGGAGCAGCGTCCACTAACTGTGTCACCTCCTACCATGGACCGAGCCCTGTGCCTATCGCGCCCACCATGCTTAGGTCTATGCCCTGGGTCACGTCTCAGGAACGTGCTGGGAATTACGCAAAAGCACAGGCTGCTGAGCAAGGAGGATTGCTGCGAGTTCAAGACCAGCGTGGGCTACAAAGGGAGGTCAAGGCCAGCCTGAACTGCATAGTGAGACCCTGTTTCAGTAAGACAAGAAAAAACATGAACAAAAGCACAGGCTGGCCTTGGTGTCACTCGGGTTAACAGAGAAGGCCCAGGGCCCTGCATTCACTGCCAGGACAACGCCAGAGCAGGCACACCTGGGTCCCGGGAACGCTCCCATTGCACCGTCCCCAGCACAGCCCCTCTTGCAAGGGCTCAGCTACCCAGTCAAGCACATCTGAAGCTATTAAGAGGAACCACCCAGAAATAAGCAGTCTGTGTTTTCATTTCATTACAGAGCATTTTCCTACTGCATCGGCTCTCATTGCTTGTCTCTGTGACTTACTATATAAATTATAGGTGAGTAAAGTATCATTAATTTCTCATAGTTCTTTTTACTTTCCTATTGTAATTTTGAGTAAACTTAAAATATATATGACTTACATTACCTTTCTTTTTTTTATTAAATTTTATTTGTGTGTGTGTGTGTGTGTGTGTGTGTGTGTG